ACTATTTCATTATTAAACTTAAATTAAATTATAATAGATTAAATAAATTACATAAAAATGAGAACTTCTAAATAGTTGATTTGATATTAATATGAATATATTTTTTTTCAAAATTTTATGATATCTTCAAATTTATATTTTATTCAAAAATAAAATCATGAATACTTTCTTAAAAACACATAAAATCGTATTATAACATCGACAGAGACAAATAATAAAATATAATATTAAAACTGAGATGTGTCTCGCTGCATTGCGTGAGTACTCTTCTAGTAATATTTAATTTGTATAAAATTTAATAAGACTGGAAACTTTTTGAAAGGGTTTTACAGAGATGGATAAAAAAACATCCTCTGAATATATATGAATCATGAAGGGGAAATGTGAGAAAGTTATTAAAAAATTAAAAGGGTATTTTGATTTATTGATGTTATGTAATCAAAATGACATGTCATTCACATCGTACCATTTACGTTGTGTTCTCGAGTACTTTTTTACGAGTGAAAGAGAGTGATTGTTAACGATAGATTAGTTGGCTTATATAGGACCAATCTGACTTATAAAAAACGCTTTGATTGTTGTATATTTTTAAAGAGGAATCATAGGTATGAAGGTGGTAATATATTTAGGGGCCGTTTACCAAACACTTACTCGGTAAGTACATACCGATAAAAATTAAAACTATCATTTACTTACTGGTTAAGGTTTTAGTCCACAAAAACAGTATCACATGCATTAGTTTACCCGGTAAGCGCTTACCGTGGTAAGAGTCATCGTTCTCATTTATCGGGCAAGACTCTTGGTCATTATCTCACTCTTACCGGATAAGATTTTTGGTTTTTGCATATTTATCCGATAAGGTAATGTAACTTGATATTTACTTATTCGGATAAGCATTTAGGTAAACAACCCCTTAGATCCACATTTCAACAATCATGTTAGAATGAAGAGAATGACTTAAGAAATCTAAGAAGGGATTGTTTTATATGTAACTAAAAAAACAGAAAAACGTATTTTTAAATTTTGAGCAGAGATGTATAAGGCCCTTTCTCTGGTTAAGTATATACCTTACCTATAGGCTTGTTTTGGGCCATATGGCACCAATCAATAGTAGACCGGTCCAATAGATGAAAATTAATGCATGTTTTGTTGATTATTTTATTATCTAATTAAATTCTTTATTTTTAAATTAATTTTATATATTTATTTGAAATTATATGTTTGCTAATTTAATTGAAATTGGATGAAATCGACATAATTCAAGTAATTGATTAAACGACCGTTTAGCAAAAACAGGTAAGTGTTTTCCAAAGACCGGGAAAATTAACCGGTAAATGAAAGTGACGGGTTGGTGACTTTACGATAGTTACAGATTGGATGCAGAAAGTGAGTTGAAGATGTTCTAAAGCAGCTCTCTAAGTCTAATAGGGGTCGGGATATGTGTGTATGTGTGTGTGTCTGTGCAGTTCAGTGGTTGGGTCGGGTTTCATTGGACTTGACCCAACTCCAACTCGATATATGCAGTTTGGTGTAATTTTATATCAACCATTTGTTTGTTGATGTATGTTTTTTAAATCCCTAATTAATAAGTGTAAAAAGAGTGAATTATTTTGTTGACATAAGATATAAATCCATCTTTAGATTCAAAGACTCAAATATACATCAATTGGATTATGTACGACTTTCAAACATTGATTTGATAACTTGATGAAGATTTTATAACCTAACACTAACAGAACTTGATCTATATCTATATATACTTGTATATATCACAATATACATGCAGCTTCTTTATTCTTCGTGTGATTTTATCCGAAGGGCTGCTACGAGTTCGACTGCAGCCATACCAACGAGATACCAAGTAACACCTGCTAGAATGACTTGCAGCCACGAGCTGTTAACGACATCCAGCAACAAAGAACCACCGATATGTGTTTCAATTCCACCAGCAGCATCTCCAAGTTGTAACCGTACCACGACTGCTGCAACGATAGCCATCCCGACAGGAACACCCGTTTCATAAGGATTACTACTTCGAATCTTCTTTGAAACCACAAACCTGTTGTATGAGCCCCCCTTCGGTTTCTTGCTGGTCGGAGTGTGCGAAGCTTTAGTGTCAGATTCGTTATTGGTTGACTCTGGGAGGATGAATGGAGATGGAGTCCAGTACTCGGTTGAATTACTTGGTTTCGGTTTTGCAGTCTTTTGTGCTTGTTTTCGAGCAGCGGCAGCATCTCTGAGCTTGTCGATGTTTGGTGACTTTGATTGTGTGGAATTTTGAGGTAATTGTAAAAGTTTTCTGCGTGTTTGAGTTGCAGGCATTCCTGGAATTGGTGGTTGCCAATATAACCAGTTTGTGATTGATCTGATCGCTTGAATGGCAGATATTCGTGCTTCCCAACCCAAGTCCTGGTCCTGATCCACAAAAAATTGTAAAAATAAATGATTTGTGTTAAGCCATGTTTTGCCACCATAAAACTAACTTTTTCTTTGTTGCGTTTATTTAAAACCCCTTGTTTGAACTAGCCTTTTGAGATACTACTTAAGTCAGGTTTTAACGAGCTCCTGAGGCTTATTTTTCAAGTTTTTCTGTAGGTGATTTTATATTATGATATAGCTTACCAGCTCGTGTTTTACTAAACATGACCAGTTTATCAATTTACGGTTAGCTTATTAGTCAATAGGTAGCTTTTCAACTAATAGTATGTTTCTCATCCTACAACTAGCTAGCCAAACATAGCAACAGGTATTGATTGCTTAATTGGGATCATGAGATTCTTTAGTTAGACAAAGCATACTAAATGCAGAACCTGAATTAGTAGTTGCCTAAAGACCCAACAACTGCATCGCAAAGTTTATTTTAGAACCCAAGTTTTTTTGGAATTTCCTGAAATACTCCTTCCATTCGAAAATAAGTGTCCACATTTCTATCGTTAAGGGTAAAATCATCATTTGGTTGATTAAAAATTATAATCGTGTACCATTTTCATTGTGGACATTTATTTTGGGAGGAGGGAGTAAGTTTTAGAGTTGCATTTGCTGTTATACGTACCTTGGAACGTTTAGAAGATCCTTTCTCCATGGCTTCTAGAAATTTATCCTGAAATTTATCCACTTCAACGAAGATATTTGAAACACGAGTACCCACGGTATTGCCTGCACCAATTCTAACACTACCACGCGGTTGCTTTGACATGAGGAACTCTAATGCTGCCAGTTTCGACCTCTCCACCATTCTAGACAAGTTAAAAAAACAAATCAGATCATGAAACTCGGTTTTCATCCAGAAGAGCTAAAAATTAACCTCAAAGATCGAATAATTGAGAAAGTAGAAGCTTAGAGATAGCAAGGGTATTTTCGTTAGCAGCTTAATGAGCTTAATGAGACTCACATCTTATTCGTTCAACTATATATAACTGCTTTGTATTGGCTTATTGATATAGAAAGCGGCTTATTCAGTGAGCTTCTAGTCCAAACATGTCGTTCCCGATTAAATAACACGTTTCTATTATGAAAAATCTCTCCCAAGCAAAAACTTTCATGATCTATATAGACAAATTAATCTACACAAACCGTTTTATCATACATGATTAATGAAAAAACGACCAAATAGTCCCCAAGTCCTAACTACATCTCACTTTGTAACGGTATGGCGAGAACCTAAATATTTTGAGAACCATGTAAACCAACTATTCATTAATTATTCATCCTGATGAAGTGATAGATATTCATATAAATATTATGAATAATGAAAATGCATAATATTCCTAAATAGTTGGTTCTCACGGTTTTAAAAATATTTACAAAGCCTAAATGAACTTCCCCTTTGGTAACAATTACTTTTTTCTCAATAACCGTGAGTGTTCGAGCTACCTTGCATATTTTTATAATATAAACTAAGTTGTGATCAATGTATTTAACAATAAAATGTAACCCACCTGGTAAGATTGTTTATTTTTCAAAAAATTATGATGAACATTTTAAACTTCGTTAATGTCAAATAGTCAACCGGGCCTAAAGAAATAGAAACCAAGGTTTCAAGAAAGCAGGAGATGCATGAAAATGTAACTTAATAGTAGAAAGTGATCAGATATATAAGCTTACGAGATGCAATCAACAGGACATGCGCCTATGGCCTCCTGAATTTTGTTTTCAGGGTCGGCCCACTGAGCGATGACCCGGGCTCTACCATAAACAGATTCAATTGCAAATGTCTTTTCGGCAAATAAGGCACATTTTAAGCAGCCAACACATTTGACTTCATCAACAAAAATAGCTCTCTGCTCACTCTCGGATCCATACCATACTGAGTATATAGGCTTCCCTGTATACCCTTTGAAATCTGCAACTTTAGCTTGCTCCTGAATCAGAAACCTCAATTAATGAAATCAATACATATTGCAATGATTACTGTATAATGAAAAATCGTACTGTTCACTATTTTATCTAAAATGCAATCCAAAGCCTTCGACAATACTTATACCATTTACAATACTCCATAATGACAAAATAGACCTGTTACATGACATGTTTAGGACTACTCGCGTGGAGTCATAGAGTTGTCTAGTTGAAAGTGTAAAAGTTTGTTCTTGTGAGTTATTCATGTTTTGCAATCATGGCTCACTTTTAGGACCATGATTTTAGTAAGCAGTTGTTTTTCCAGCTTTAAATTGTAATATTTCTGAAGTTTAAGCTGGTTGGTTTCTCAGATAGTGAACAGGGAGGTTATGATGATATTGTTTTACTTGGTTCTGGTATTTTCTTGTGGATTTCATAAAAAGAAGAAATCTTAGTTCAATCGTCGTTGAAGCAGAGTCTGTTGCTGTAACGGCTGCTGTTATTCAAGCTTCGTGGCTGAGAAGATTTTAACTAATATGCATCTGGATCAAAAGGAAAGCACACAAATTTCTGTTGACAACCAACCTGCTATTGCTGCCTCACATAATCCTGTGTTTCATGGGAAAACTAAGCATTTTAACATTAAAGTATTCTTCTTAAGGGAAGTGTAGAAAGATGGGGCTATCAATCTTAATCTTGTGTACTGCAAAATAGAAGATCAAGTTACTCATATTCACCAAACCGTTTAGCAAGTTTGGGTCACTAGGGACAAAATATGGTGTTTGCAGTTCCTAAAGCAAGGAGTGTTAGATGACATGTTTAGGATTGCTGATGTGGTCACGAGTTGTCTAGTTGAATGTGTCAGAAGTTAGTTATTGTGGTTTATTCATGATTTCTGATCATGGCTCATTTTTAGAACAGTGATTCTAGTAATCAGTTAATTTTCAAGTTTAAAATTGTAATGTTTCTGAAGTTTAAAAAATGCAGTTTCAGTTTTCTGCTCATTCAAACTTGCAACAAGATCGACAATATTTCAGACTTTTGGTACTTTGTGATATGACCAAGGACGACTATGTCCTCTACGTTGGAAATTGTCAAAATAAATGCATACTAAGATCAACTGTTCCTATGAACGTAGTATATCATGCCATTAGTTTCGAATCACAGCAACAGATCCGAAACAGACAAGTCAATTTTAACTTTAAAAGTTCAAAACATAGCAATTAATCCTGAACAAAATGAAAATTGTACAATCATAATATCATATAACGGATAATCAATTGCTTCTCTAGTGTTTTTTGGGATGAGTATTAACTTAACGATTGAAAATTAACAATGGATCACGCATTTCGAACGGATTCATAAATCAGAGTATGAACAATTTCAGAACAAAGTAGCATCAGTTTGAAGTAGAAAATCAACAGGTTAACTTCCAAAACCAAAATTGAACCATGAACATGCAACCGAAACAAACCTTGTCATAAGAGAAACGTGAAAGAGGATCAGATAACACAGCATAGGCTTCATTGAGAATGATTGCCATGTCGTGTCCCGGCACTCCAGCTATATCCGGATGACACTTCTTTTGCAGTGTCCGGTACGCCTGTTTGATGGTCAAATGATCGGAAGAACTATCGACACCGAGAAGATCATACAGATCGAAATCGGTGATGGAAGACGATGTAGATCCTGAAGCTTTACATACCAGAGATGCGTGATCTGAACATGACTTGTTCCAATTCCAAAAACTTGAAGATGTTTTGGATTTGAGAGATGTTAGTGGTACGATCGTCGATGATCTCGATGGAGTTAGCGTGTATGGTGAAATGATTATGGAATGCATGGTGATGGAGTGACGGTGAGCGAACTCCGATCGAATGGGAGAGGTGGGGGCAGAAGATTAGAGTTGGAGAGATATTTATTTATTTATTTTTTTTTCTTTTTTTTTTCTGTACCACTAACCCCATTTATCCTAATCACTGCCAATTTTACTTTTGTACCCTCAATCGAGCGCACGTCCGCGGGTGCGTATGTGCAGGTGTGCGTGTGGATGCGTACGACTCTTATGTGTCTGAAGTATAATTTTGGTACCAAAGGTTTATTTGGTGTCCACATGGTATAAAATCTATAGTATATTACGAAGTATTTTACTTAATTTCTTAAAAATCATTTTTCATATATAAAGTACTGTTTATTGATATATAATACTTAAAATTCTAGACTACAAGTAAATTGTGTGTAAATACAACTTATTAAAACTCCATGTTTGAATCCGTATAACTAACTTCAATTAAATTGAAGATAAACATTTTATTCTAAATATAAAAAAAACTAAAATATAAGTAGGATAATCATTGAGTTCTAACAAAATAGTTAGTCTAGTACTAATATCAGTATTTATTTTTTATGATTTATTCATATTTATATTTTATTCAAAAATAAAAACATTATTGTTTTCTCAAAATCACATAAGACCGTATTATAATATCGACTAAGACAAAAAAATGAAACACTAAAATCGAGATGTATATCGCTGCATTGTGCGAGTATCCTTCTAGTATGATATAATAGAACAGTTGTTAAATGTTTAGTAAGATAAAACAAAACAAGTAAAAATGATCTAATGAGTTGTTTATACGTTTTGATTTATTTAGGACGAATTGCATAAAAAAATAACGTATTTTAACTTGATTTTTTTTTTTGGGTAACGTACTTTTAAAACTTTCGTTTTGGTACATAAGATGTAAAGTTTTAAATATTTAAGTATCCGGACAACTGGTTGAAGCATTAACTGGTTACCATGTTAATGTGGCGAGTGATGCGGTATCCAACTCACTATTATTTGTTGAAGCATTAACCGGATACCACATCAAAATACAATAAATAAAATTTAAAGAATGAATAAAATGTAAAAATGACACCTATATGATGTAAAAAACAGTTACAGTTTGTTACGAACTTAAAAATAAACAGATAAAATTAGACAAGAGTGTGTTTTGTACAAGCGTACAAGTATGTATTTGTATAGTGTGTAAGTGATGAAAACTGAGGTGCATCTGAATCAGTGATTTGTCTTGATTGGTATGTCAACATTTTTTAAAGCTTGATAAGGATGGGAGAATACCGAACCATAAGCAATATGGATCTATATTGCTACTTAGAAATATATTAACATATTACAGAACTTGCTTTAAATCTGTATAAAATTAGTCCTTGATTCGATTTAAAACCATTTTTTTTATAATTTTTATACTTAAAAAGCTGATGTTCTATATTTATATTCCTGTAGATACAACAAGCTCAAATACGTATTTAATTCACAGTCTAATATGGAAGCAAGTCACTTTGGAACCAAAACCAAGCGAATGTTGTACCATCTTAAATCATTTTGAATCCGTTGTAGGCTTTTCTCGAGCAAAGTTGGTATCTTCCTGTGGAGATTGAGACAAGAGGATGCTTCAGTGTGACGTCATTTGGTTAAGTGGGGAATAGACCTAAGTTACGTCTTGTGTTTTCATTGCGACAAGATCGTTGAAGACATCGTTCGTTGTCTTGTCAGTTGCAGTAAGGTTCAACATGCTTGGGGAAATATGCTAAAATGGTGAGGTCTTCATGGTATTCCTATAAACTCAACCTCGAATCTTCTTGACTTGGTAATGCATCCTTCAATTAGACTATATCAATAAATGGTCTACAAATAACGCTACTTCTTGGTACAAAACTTGACTACGTACATCTTGGCCGGTTTGAAGAGACGACCATCAGCCTCCAGTATTGACCATAATGCCATAACCTTACAAAAATAAATAAGTATTTTTCAATTTTTATTTCGTTATATCGACTTTTTGTCGCTCAATCACGTCTTCTCCCGGTTTAAATGTTACACCAGACGTATGACGACAAATTTTTGTCCCGTTCTGTCTCATATACCAAACGTACTGAATTGGTACGTTGGGTCGAAAAGTCAAGTTGAGGAGAAGTGAGTAGGCACAAAAAGTTTCCATTCCATTCAACTTGATCAATCATAATCAAGTTTGTCAAAATCCCTGTATTTTTGAATTTGCAAAAACTAAAGAAACAATGCCATCACACTTGGCTTCATTGGGGAAAGAAAGGATTGATACGAATGAACTCAAGGTAAAAATTGCAACCATAATCACTTAAACTTTGCCTGGCTGTTTATCGTTGTTATTATCAACTAAAAATGGGTTCCGATGCATGACCGTGGAATCATACAAGACCCCTCTGTTTGAAGACTTCAAGCATAGCAGCTCCGATCTTTGCTGGTGATTCAACAACCGTCACACCAGCTTCCCTCAGGGTCCGGATTTTGTCTTGAGCCGTACCCTTTCCGCCTGATACTATGGCTGCAAGTTCAAGGGAAGATTACTTGAGTTGACATGAAGTAAATTTCTTAAACAGCTTAGCAACTTAAGATGATAGAATCATAAAACAGCATTAAAAATGAACAGAAACGTGTATGAGCTTGAAAAAGAAACACAAATGTATGTATAAATAACCTTTATTATCCAAACCAAACACACCTCCAGTTATGTATAACCCTCTTTTTTGAAGTCCGTTAGGTCGTGTTTGGTACGCGGACAGAATTGGACTAGCAAGAGTGAGGTTGATGGGTGGGTGAAAGAATTGTGGACGGTTTTGAAGTTTTAATTGACATGGGTAGTTTAGTAATTTACCTATCTTGTCCCGTTTCCCTTAATCTTGTCCTGTTTCAGTCTAATTGTCGCACCAAATATGGACAAATTTTTGTTCTGCCATGTCTCACTTGCCAAACGCGTCCTTAGAGAGATGGGGTCATGTAGAGAGGTCAAAGGTGCCAACACCTCTAGCATAATCAAGTAACCTTTAGATGTGCCATTAAAAGATATTGAGATGATCCCAAACTTTGAAATCACAAAAATTATTATGACAAGGTTATTGTGGTATTGCATCCTGAATCCTGACGGAGGAAAAGCACTGTGTAGGTCTCGTGATCCCAAACTTGCTGTGCTATTATGAACGGATGTCTATTTTGACAAGTTAATGCAAGCCATATAAAAGGATGCTATAATCTTAAAATGGTCATATGAAAGATTAGACACGATGGAAAACGAAAACTACTAAACAATGTTTCCACGTTGCATCTTGATCAACTTCATGAACACTCTAAAAGATTTTTGTATGGTCATACTTGATGTAAATCGTTTTTTTCCTAGAGTTGATTAGTAGTTCCCTATTATTGATATGAATCACTCTTTTACACACAAAAATCAGATTAATAGCCTAATAGTTGTACAATTAACAAGAAATGACTTTAAAATAAGAGAATGTTGGGGGCCCTTATATTGAAGTAGGAACATGATTATCAATGAAGCATGCTACAAAGCAGGAAAAGGCACAGCACAACGGATGACCCAAAAAAATCAATCCTTCATCTATCGACTCCTTGAATAACATAAGCACAGCAAAATATGTTACAAACTAGAGTATTGCATTAGATAGCAAAGAAATACCTCCAGCATGACCCATACGTCGACCAGGTGGAGCAGTAAGTCCAGCAATAAAGGCAACAATAGGCTTATCAGTCCCACTTTCCTGTTTTCATATAAAAAATTGGGATCATATGAAACTCATACCACAAGTGGACAACAACAAAGTAGTTCTTCGAACTATTGCTAATAACAAAAAAAGTTGAACCACGGATTCATGACAGTAATAATTTTTGGATTGCTTGACGTTTCCCGTGTTTTTATGCATCAAAGACTTAGTTGGCCACAAAGTGGCTACTGGCTAACTAAAGCCATGCAATTTCTTATATCATGGGTGTTTGGCCTGTAAGTTCTGTTTTACCCTCATTCTTCCACTGGATAGAAAGATCATGTTTGAGTTGTATTTCCAAATCTTAGAGAATATTAACTCAATTGGAGTTTAAATGGTATAATCAAACTACAATATAGCCATAGTAGCATGCACGGGCACCAACAACAAAGTGAGCTATGACATGTCAGAACCAAAAACATCATATAGCTCAAAGTAAAAAGAAAAATATAGATTATAATAAAGAAATCCTAGACGAAATTCATTAGGAAGACCCAAAAAGCTTGTTTCTTTCATACTCATTATCACAACCAAGAGAAGTAATTAAAGATCACGTCAGCTGACTCTATACAAGTGTACCGTATCTGACCTTTATGAGGGCAGCAGCATCTTCTTCTGCAGTACCACCAATCTCACCAATCAGAATGATACCTGAATTGCAAATTGCATGAAGTTTCAGAACATGGAACAAAATAATTTAAAATGCAATATGACCAAATAATTAGATTATTACAGTACTACTTAATAGGTGACTGCTCAAGATACAACTACACTACTACAGCTAGAAATTTCTTAGGTCACAAAAAATACAAAATACAATTACCCCATGAGCTGCCAAAGGCATCCATCTAGCTTTGAACTTCAGGAACATCTAGATAGTATAAACTAAAATGCTCAATTGATACAAAACTTATTGTTGGTCTGTGTGAAAATCAAAGTTTCTACAGGTGAAAGGTGAAATAGAATGAAACGAGACCCTGCACTATTTGCATACACAGATGAGTGAGTTGGTATAACAATGGAAGAGAGATCAAGAGAACACTTCCATTCAGACTTGGCAAGAAACGCTCTCAGACAGCACCCCTCCCAAAGCAGAACTTCATTCTAGTGGTTCTAAAAAGTATCCATACTTTTTAGCAGCACAACTGTTAAAATCGCTTGTAACTAGTAAACTTATGAACATATTTCCTCGAGAACTGAATAAGTAGTTTAATCCCAACCACCGCATGAAGATTAGTGTAGTGTTCCGACTTCCGTTCTGTTACTACTTGCTAATATAACACATGTTCCCCTCTTGAACTCTCCACTTATCTAATGATGGTTTGTCGGGAGTATAAATCCAATTCAATTTGATGCCAGATCAATTGTACATTTTACTTATTCATGTTTGATGTTTGTTTGTCAATTTTCATCTTTCAATTGCCTCCGCTATTGTTGTAGCTTCTCCTCCTGCGGATTCTCATTAGCAGCATTACACCGACGCAAAGTGCTAAATTCTAGTAGACAGCAGCAATTATGGTATATCGAAAATAGATAGAGCACTTTTGTCCAAATGTTGTTAGCCTCTTCGCAATAAAGCAAGGACCAAAGACCTTGATTCATTAAAGGCTACAAAACTTAATAAGGTGTTGGTAATAAACACATGCAAGTAATTTATTACTCTGTCAGATAATGGCAAACCAAGAACCTTAACAAGAGCACTTAAACAGTAGTTAGATAATGATGTAAACATATAAATGGGAGCACTCCATGAAGTCATGAGTACGCAACATGTGGGAAAATTTATCCTGCATAGAATCATACAGGGCTGTTGCACCATTTTAGTTCTTGTGGGATTTATAGGTCAGCATAGCAACATTCACAAAAAATATGTCAGAATAATCTCGCTTCGTATAATATTTTTATGGAAGGTTCCCTATAAAAATGAACCACATATGTGATCCAAAATCACCTAAAGGAAAAGTACATCCTTCGAATACACATCATGTTTTTTCAAACAATGGTGTGTGTAGGCGTTTAATGTCTCTCGTGTACCTATATATGCTTCTTACTTCTTAGCATATACAACACGCCTGAAACCTTTGTGCTCTAAAAATTCATAATAAATAATCATAAATAGTTACCAGACCACTTAAAAGCTAGGTATTGTGATAGTCATGTTGGAACAATAGATGTCTGCGCATCAAAGCACTCTCTGTAAATAAATACGCAAAAAACTGACTCAATATTAATTCATGAGTTACCTTCTGTCTGGGGATCAGCAATGAATTTTGTCATGCAGTCAACAAAGTTGGTCCCGTTAAAAGGATCCCCACCGATGCCTACACAGGTGGATTGGCCTAGGCCAACAGCAGTGGTTTGGTAAACCTGTAACGAAGTGAGGAGGCAGGTTATTTAAAGAGTTGCATGATATGCTTTTGAAATTAAAAATAGGCAGCAGTTAGTTAAACTAATGAAACTTCAACACTATAAGAATGATTTTATCTCATGTGCCATATCACCTCCTCAAGTTCCCAGCTGCAGAACTTGGTAAGTGTTGTGTCAAAGCATTCATCTGTTGCAACTAGCAATCATAAACCTATGACTATCTAATTTGACTAACATTTTTGTCCAATCAAGACATATGCGTCGTGATATTGAAGAGAATCTGCAATGCCTAGAGAGGTGTATCAAGCTATAGCATCTCAAAGAGACGAAGGTTTATAAGCCTTAAGCCCTAAATAAAAGGCTGCATACTGATAAGAGACGTTTGCAGCAGTGCTATAGTGAGCCTTGTAAGCATCGAGAATCATCATAAATTAATGCAAAAACAACTAATCAAACATATCTCACCGCTTCATAAGTTAGCGTGCCAGATCGAGATACAATACCAATGCGTCCTGGTTTGTGAATGTACCCAGGCATAATGCCAATCTTGCATTCGCCTGGCTTAATGATACCAGGGCAGTTGGGACCAATTAACCGAGTTTTTGACTGCTGCTTAAGAGCAGACTTCACACGAACCTGTATGCATATAATTATAAAGGGAGAAATAGTTAATATTATGCTTAAGGAAAACACAATATATACATCATACAGGTTTATATGTCAATAGAACATATAAAATTAACCTACCCCGTATCAAACAGTTTTGTAATGATGTACCCAATAAGAGAAAGGCAGGTTACCATGTCATGTTGTGGTATTCCTTCTGTAATGCAAACAACTAAATCCAGTTCAGCGTCCATTGCCTCCATGATTGCTGCTGCAGCAAACGGTGGTGGTACATATATTACAGAAGCATTAGCCTTGGTTTCAGCTTTTGCATCTGCGACTGTGTTGAAAACAGGGAGCCCCAAATGCTCTGTTCCACCCTTCTTTGGGGTAACTCCACCAACCTACATAAGAATAAATGTTGAAAAATGTTGCTTAGTCTGCAAACCCTCCAATCCCAAGAAAGTTGTAACATACTAAGAAGACATACATGAAAACTGGATGAAAGAAATAAAACCAACAAAAAAGGGTTATATTAGTGGACGGTGTTATTATCAAGTGGAAGTGCATAGATATCAAGCTAACCAGGATACGTAGACAAGTGCACCATAACTTCCTACACACTATGGATTGCAGTGAACTATAAAGCGTCACCTTTGAAAGCACTACTTGTCACAGATACTAGTCATGCTTCCTATAATAATTGAAAATTTGAAAGACACTTTCAGACCTATCAGTTGATACTAATTACAATACATATGCAAGATCATACTCCTCAATTTTACATCTTCTCCCATTTCTCAGCAATACAAAAGATTGGTGGCTATTAATTTGTTCCACAAGTTTTCTCTAGTTTTGACATATTACTCGGGTTATTTGTCAAACGATCTTATTGAACCATTTGCCAATTTTATTTTGGGACGGAAGGAACGTCTTTTTCGTAATTAAGAATACAAAATTAAACAATCATTTTACAGATCACTAAATAATCTAAAACCCTAGATCCGACCAGAAAGACCTAACGCGATCATGTCTCTATCAAAAACGTCAACGTATTGTAAATCTAATCGCATATATACAGTGCGTGATAGAAACGTGCATAATTTTACCATCTTAGTTCCGTATTCAATGGCTTGCTCGGTATGAAAGGTGCCATTTTTTCCAGTGATTCCTTGACAAATGACGCGGGTGTTCTTGTCGACGAAGACTGCCGGAGGTGGAGGAGCTGTGGCGAAAGAACGCGATTGATAAATCGAATTCGAAGACGATGATGATGCTGACGTACCAGATGTGAGTTTTGAGGAGAGGTTTGCGATGAATCGAGTGGCTTGTCGAGACATCTTGGCTGCAACTCCAAATCTTCGTCGGCAGAGACTTCACGCAGAGAGACGACAATGAAGCAGCAGCGAGGGCACAAGTTGGGAAATAAGTTTCGCCCGGGTCGGGTCGGTATTGACATCATATTGATTTACTTCAGTTATATCAATTCATAAAAATCTCCATCGTTTCAATAGTTTCACATAAGCTGAATGATTTGGTATTAAATGATTAAAAGACTATTATGATATAATATAAAATAAAATATAATTTTTTGATAATTGTTTACAATAAAATTAAGGTGTTGAATGGTTAAGAGGGACACAAGATACAAAATCGTTCAGATAGTTTTAAAACTATTAAGAGGTAGACTTTTTTATCAAACAAGAGTCACCTGTTAACAGAACAATTAAGAGGTAAACAAACAATCTCTTAAATAGTTCAATGTAAGATTTCAATACGTCTTTTGTTTCAAGATGTCGAGTTCCTATAGATTATAATGGTGTATATTGGTTTTAATACCATGTGAGAATATGTAAAAAAAAATAGATTATTCTTTTAAAATAATCATTAACAAGATTATTTCCAACAAATATTGAAAATTAGCAAATACGAGGGGATGTTTACTAAAAGCTTATCCGGTAGGTGTTTATCGGAAAAAATTTCTCTTTGGACGAACATGGCAAGGTTCAATAATCTTACCTGGTAAGAGCGATAATAATGATAGAGAGTCTTATCCGGTAAGTGAGACTGACAACTCTTACCCGGGTAAACACTTACCAGATATATTGTTGCTTATGATACCATTTTAATATACTATAATCTTACCTAAAAAATAAATTATAGTGTTGGCTTCAAACGGTAAACACTTACCGGATAAACATTTAGGTAAACAACCCTTTAAGTCTAAAAAAATATTTATATGAGAAAGGAAAATGTTTTATCCATGTGCAAAAAGATTCTCTACATGAATTTTTGTAAACTAGATACTGGTAAAAGATATTTTCTGTGTTTAAAATTTAAGATTTGCAATAATATAAAAATTATTATGCTTATTTGTTGTTACTAGAAAGGTATTCATGCAATGCAGTGTGAGACATTTTGATTTTAGTGTTTCGTTTTAATTTTTGTCTATGTTAATATTATAACACGGTTTTATGTGGTTTTAATAAAACGATAATGTTTTTATGTTTAAATAAAATATAAATTTGAATATCTCATAAAACTTTGAAAAATTATATCGATATTAGTATGAAATAACTATTTAAAGGTTCACGTTTTTTATGTAACTTATTTAATTTAATTTTTTATTATAATTTAATTTAGATTTAATAACAAAATAATTTATTTTCGTTTTAATAATATGACTTTTTATAAAGATAACAATTAAGTGTTATGTTAGAACTCAGTGATTATCCTATTTATATTTTAAATTTTTTATGTTTAAAACTAAATGCTTATCATGTATTTAATTATGTTTATATGCAATTAAGTACACGAGTTTTAATAAGTTATACTTACGGATAATTTACTTGTACTTTGAATTTTAAGTAATATGCATCAATAAACAGTATTTCATGCATAAAAAGTGGTTTTTAAGAGTTTTTATCAAATGCTTTATAATATAGTATAGATAGATAATTCACAAATGAATGAATTCTTAAATTGATACTTGATTTAAAATAAAATGGATGATGTATCAATTTATTGGTTTCTTATCATATTCTTTTAAAAATATTTTTGGAGTTGGTGTAAACTCGTTTTATTATCAAACAACTGGACACTTTAATCAACTTGATCGAATTATGTTTTTGAGAGTTTGAGCATAAAAAAATGTTGCATTACCAATATAATACTAGAGACCGTGTTGATACATGATAACTTATCTAATTCAATCACTTTCAGTCATTGCTTAAAATTTAAAATAAAAACAAATATTATTTTAACGACCGATTAAATAATTCATTAAACTAATTTAACAAAAAGAAACAGACTCATGGTAATGGCATATCTTATGACTAACTGACTTGTGTTGTTAATATATATATTGGTAATGGCCAGATTCAATCGCCATGCTCGTTCATGATGGATTTTAGTGGTTGCAACAAAAAACACTATTAATGTCAGTTTTTGGTTAAGCATGTTAAAAAAAAACCATCATACCAATCACAAGGATGGTGCCTGATGGTTTGAGTTTGGCGTCAAAGGTCAAAAATACCAGTAGGTCACAGGTTCAAATCCAAGGAGGAATAAAAATCCCCTTGTGGCCATGGAGGTCCAAATACAGTGATTTCGGGCTATCTGCAAAGCAGGTGGTCGCCATGGGATTAGTCGGCTCGCATAACGCTTTGGATATCCAGGTTAATCAAAATAAAAACCCATCATGCTGCAAAAACTAATCAAACCAAACTAGACCATTTTTTGGTGTTTAGTGGTTTGGCGGTTCAGGGTTTAAGGATGTCGGGAATATCATTATACAACTAACAATTCACTTATTTTCAAACTCACTCATTTTTTGCAAGAAACCCATGTTCTCTTCATTCGTTCATAAATTGGCTTGAACATGCCATCTAGAGCTACTTAAACACAGTTAAGTTGCATATTGGACATGGTTTCAGTCATTGCTTAAAAAACAAACAGACACTTGGTAACAAAACATAATACATATCTTATGACTGACTGACTTGTGTTGTTAATGTATATTGGTAATGGCCATATTCAAACGTTGATGATTCATGATGGATTTTAATGGTTGCAGAAAAAGAAAAACTATAAATGTTAGGTTTTGGTCAAGTGTGTTCAGAGAAAACCATCTGATTGTAAAAACTAGTCAAACCAAACTAGACCATTTTTTGCTGGTTTAAGTCTGACAAAAATAATATTCTACAACTAACAATTCACTTATTTTCAAACCGACTCAATTTTTGTAAGAAAACAATGTTCTATGCATTCATTCTTAAACTCGTTTGAACGTGCCATCTATCCAAATGCAAGAGAATAGGATCTTTAAGCTCTGGCACTTAAGTTGCATATTGAATATTGGGTTCCTTCTGCATATGATAATAGAGACTTAGGGGTCATTTTCCAAATGTTTATTCGGTAATCGTTTACCAAGTCATATTACTCTATTTGAAAACATGACAAGAACCGAAAATCTTACCATTAAGGTAAGTGATAGTGTTGATCCTACCGGTAAGCACTACCGGATAAGTGTTTAAATAAATAGCCCCTAACCAGAAGCTTACCGGCAAGAGACATCACCATTACTTACTTTATCGTGTAATATTCTCAGTTATCAAAATGAATTGTTGGTAAACATCTTAAATCCGGTAAACGCTTATTGGGTAATAGTATTTTCACTCATTTACTGGGTAAACCCTCTCGGTCCTTACTATGCCTATTGCTGGGTAAGATTTTTGGTTCTTTTCATGCTCAATCGTTAAGGTAAGTGATATTGGGGGAGCACTAACTCAGTAAGTATTTAGTAAACGACCCCTTAGAGCTTAGACAACTTAGATAGCTCCTAAAAGACACTATGTTTTGGAGACACATATTGTCACAACCTCATAAAATAGGAGGTACAACAATAAGGAAAAGCTAAAAAATGCATAGGTGCTTTCAAGAGCCAGATCTGGATCTAAAAGAGAATAAATCCATCTTAAAATAAAGCTACAAGTCCTGTAATAAAAAACCACAAGGACTTTTATGGCCATGAATTATGAGCCTGAACATATAATCAACCTCTTAGTTGTCCATTTGTATCAGTAGTGGAGTGGTGTAGCTAATCCCGCTTGTTGGTAATTAGGAGTCTTGATCTTAGCTTGTATCTAGTATCTCACGTTTAAAGCCAAATTGGACGGTTTGGTCTTGTATGCAGTTTGAGGTATCATGTTGGTGGTTTAAACTGCAGACACACACATATATATATATATATTATATTTTTATGCATTAAACCCATATACGTAACTAAAATAAGTATTCATAAACATTCAAATTACAAACCTTAAGGGGCTGTTTGGTTCGTGAAATTCGAAAGAATTTAATGGAATTGGAATGACAAATTCTTTTGACCAAATTCTAATTCATTTGTTTGGTTCATTTGAAATAGATGGATTAATGAATTCATCATTCATTGGCATAATGAGAGGAATTGAATTCCACGATCATGCTACTATTATTCGTCATGTCCCATCCCTAACCCCCCACCACCACCACACCACTATTGTCGTTGCCACCCACACCCTACCCCACCACTAACCAGTAACCACCATGCCATTACTATTGTCATTGCATCCACCTACCCCTCGTCACTTGCTGCATACCATACTACCACCGTTATTGTCATGCCCCTAACCTAATCCCCACCACCACATCATTATTGTCGCCATCGTAATTGTCAGTCACCCCCACCCTACCCTAACCCACCAGTAACCACCAAGCCACTACTGTCGCCGCCATACCCCCCACTCCTAGCCACCCTACCACCATCGCATCACTGTCGTCGTCACAACTATCACCCATGCCCACATGCATCATCCCTGATGCCCTGCCCCTAACCCCACCATCACACAACTATTGTCGCCTTCACAATCGCTACTCACTCGCACCCCACCTACCCCAACCCACTACTGAACACCATGTCACTATTGTTGTCGACTTGTCGTCATACCTACCCATTCCTAGGCTCCAGCCACCAGACCACTACTCCACCACTATCATCGTCACAGCTAGCACCCCGCCACCTACCCCACCGTCCCGTCCCACCTTACCCTACTCCAAGCCACCACTAACCACCAACCTACCACTGTAGTCGTAACAACTACCACCCTGCCACCCATTGCCCTACTCTGGCCCCACCCTCACCGCCTCGCCCCACCCTGCCTGCTCCTAACAACCCCACCTATGGAGGTGGGAAGGAGTGGTGGGGCAGGGTTTAGGTAGTGGCGGGGCGGAGTGATAGCTGTGACGACGACAATAGCGACATGATGGTTGGTAGAGTGTGGGCGGGGCGATGGGTGAGATAATCCAAACAAAGACGATTGTTTCAATTCTTTTTTGAGATATTTCATTTCAGTTCCTATCAACCAAACGCGTGATCAAATTCAATTTCAGTTTCTTCAAAGTCAAATTTATTTGATAAATTTTAGTTCCATCAATTTCTATTATGTGAGCCAAACACCTCCTAAGTTTTTTATTATCTCGTTTATTTCAACTCTCAAAGTTTTCTTGTTTTCTGTCTTCTTCTCTTTATTCTCATATTCCAATAGGCTTCTCTTCATTCATCAATTTTTGTTAAACTATCGACCACACTATGATTTTTTTGTTGAAGTACTCTCAACGGTATGAATATTTTTTTTATGAGATCAACGTACGTGTATAATCAAAGAGCATTTGATCTAACGGTATTGTAGTTTTTGGCCTTCTAAAAAGTAGAGGTAAAACGGTTTGATATTTTCTTAAAACGACTTTACAATTTGGTTTATGGTTTGAAGGGTTAGATTTTTTTTGACCATTTCGTTAAAGACTATTGTATCTTAATTAACATTATCTGTTTCATAATTTTGTTTAAATGCTTGTAATTTATACAGCGTGTATGATTAGATATGAATTATCTATGAAGTGATTCACAGTTTTCACCAGATTGTAATCAATCTGTTCAACCCTGTTGGTAGCTCAAATCGCAAATTGTAGAAAAAATCGATTTTTTGGTAGTTAGATCCGATAAAAAGCATACTGTTTGGAGGAAATTGGGGTTTGGGAGCAAAAGTAGTTCTCCAACTGGAACTTGGAAGACCGTTAAACCCTTCAAAGATTCAAACCCTTGAAAAATGGGGGTTTCCTCTTTCGTTGGAATCGCGTTTGCCATCGCTCTGATTTCTCTCATCGTTGCATTATATCCACTCAGTTATGGTCCTCCTGCATCACCATCACCATCACCCGCGGTATGTATATTCCTCCACACGTTTAGACTCCAATTCCAACTTTCCAATTACTGTCTGCACCAAAGATACTCCCTTTTCCGGAAAAGAAAAGATTTCCCTATGTATACCATTTTGTGATTTCAGTTGCGTTCTTATGTTTTTGGGTAAATTTTTAGGTTAAGCATAAATATTTGATCATTGTGATCAGCTGAAATAACTACCACTTTGTGATTATTGGAAATACCGAACCATATGTATTAAACAAGAGGAGCATGTTTCAAACACTTTTTGTGAAATTGTTTTGACCAACATTAAACTGAATAAGGGGCCGGGTAAACGCTTACCCGGTAAGTGTTTACTGATAGGATTCAACATTACAATTTATTTTGATACGTAAGATTTTAATACATCAAAACAAATCGAATGCAACAAGTTACTAGGTAAGTGCTTACCTGGGTAAGAGTCGCCATCCTTACTTACCGGGTAAGACTCTCTATCCTTTTCATTGCTCTTACCCGGTAAGATTCTTGGTCCTTCTCATGTTCATCCGATAAGGAAATTTATCCGCTAAGCACTTACCAAATAAGTGTTTAGTAAAAGGCCCCTAACAAATTATACAAAAAAAAAACTCTGGTGATGAAGTAGTTGAACAATCTTTAGTAATTTATTCATTTTAAGATTATTGGGTTTGATAACAAAACTTTGAATGTTGTGAGCAATGATAGTTGATTAGTGTTATGATACACTAGAACAGTAGTATGATGCTCGGTTTTATTGCTGTTATGGTATTTTCTTAACCATAGTTTTGCTACAGCGAATTCTAGATGTCAAAGGGAGAGAACTTACATGCCTTTATTACTATTTATGGCCATTCACTTACTACCGTGTTACAACTTTCTCTGCCAGAGATTGTTTACAGTACAAGATCTAGCTATTTACAACGGGACTGATAATGGCTTGCCCATCTTGTTAGGAATTCTTGGGTACTCACTTTTTCACTCTTTATTTCTGTTTGATCAATATTCCCCCCCCCCCTCTGAAGTATCGTTGGTGGTTTTTTGCATTCAGCTGGTTTAAAATTTGGCCATATCGTTTTTCAGTTTAGAGGTTTATAGTGTTTACAAGGTCAAAACAGATTGGGCGGACACAACGTACATTCTCTTTGATCAGATTGAATTTGGGTGGATTCCAGAAATCTAATGTATATATGCAAATGAGTTGTATAATATAGTTTTATTAGTGATTAATGAACATGAAAACTTTGTTCAATTGCTAAATTGAAAACCTTACACAGATAATTGCTTCTCTAGCCTCATGTTTTTCAAATTACTTTATGGTATGTGACATTTAGATATTATCAGTCACATAAATATCTTTCCTTAAAAGTTGAACTTCGTTTTTTTAATTAACCTGGATATCCAACCTGCTATACGAGCCGACTAATCCCAGGGCAACCACCTGCTTTGCATATAGCCCGGAGTCACCGCATTTGAACCTCCGTGGCCACAAGGGGATTTTTATTCCTCCTTGGATTTGAACCTGGGACCTCCTGGTACTTTTGACCTTTGGAGCCAATCTCAAACCAATCAGGCACCACCCTTGTGGTTGAACTTCGTCTTCTTTTAATTAGAAAGGAGGGAATATCTTCTTTTTTTCTTGTTCTTTTCAAAGTACCACCAAATAACAAAGTTTATCTCTTTAAATCTGAGGAAATTCTGGTTAACTTGGGTTAATCTTTACCTTAAAAATCATAGTGAGACTTATTTTGGAAAGAACACAGTGGCTGATTATTACTTCTATATGCAAGCTGAATAAATGGTAAAATGATAACTGATAGCTATCTCTTGTTGTCTCTTTTAGTTAGTCATCGGTGATATCTGGGATATCAACTACATATTAATCCAAATAGAGAGTATATGATTAGGACCATCGAATGTATGCTTAGATATAGAGACATTTGCAAGGTGGGCTTTTATTGATTATTTTCTTTCATGTGTGGAACATCAGGTCGGTGTTTGACGTGACAAAAGGAAAATCTCATTATGGGCAGGGAGGTGGCTATAATCACTTTGCTGGAAGGTTTTGACTTTCTTGCCTCATTATTTTCAAATGTCTTATTAGAAGAAATTCTCGGTTGTCTACTTGTCCAGACATAATATATGTTTCTCTCAAACATGTTTGTATAATTATCATACACTTGCGTGTGCTCTTATATTTGTGAATTCGTAGTTAAATCTATGGGTAAGTTTTCTCACCGGGAAAGTTCATTTTGGTTTGATTGAAAATTTATTAGAGAGATAATGGAAAAAAATGTCAAAGACTGATCTTAGAACTCCTTTCGACATATAGCCTTGTTTTTTTTGTTGTATGGCGGATACAATTTTCTTATGTGCACTAGAAGGTAGGGGAATTCACTATATTTCTTGTATTAACATCATCATCTTTCATAGTCTCTCCAATCAGCAGTTTATCATTGACAAGCATATAGTATAGTTATCGTTTTGTTTGTCTTTTTGCGAGCCCATGTAAAACCGTAGCAAAAAAGATAAGGACTTAAGGTACCCTCAAGTGACCCAAAGTGGATTTAATCAATTGGGTTGTCTTCTCTTGAAGTAATTCACTTGTTTCAAAGTTGAAATTTTAAGTTGGTTACAAGTTGTAAGTTTTCTGACATCTGGCTTCCGTCTTTTATGTTTGATGCTAATACTCATCCTTCTATCTATCTTATTTCAGAGATGCTTCGAGGGCATTTATCTCCGGAAACTTCACAGGTACATTTGTCAATGCATGTCAAACACTGGTCTTCTTGTTCCAGTGCTGGTTCACTTGAAGTTTATGCTTACTTTAGCTAGTTTGTTTGTTTGTTATAAAATAGTAAAAGTTGGCATGTTAGTAATTACCCGCGAAGACTGGCAAGTTACTGGTACCTGGTTGGGTCTGAGAGGACCCGCACCTTTTCTGTTCACGATGTCATTGCAATTATATTACAACCATCTTGTTATTGCAATAATTTAAAAGACCTGGGAAGTTGGAAAGTTGTACCATAAGCAATTTCACAATTATTGGCAGCTGAATTGTAAACCATTCTAAAAAGTCCTACTATGGATAAGTAACCAATCTCCATTTTTATATCCTTAATATGGAAGGAAAATAACGTTACAAATAAAGTTGTTGATTCTGAGACGAGGTGTCCCTAGTGTTAAAGCATCTATCCAACTTTGAAGAGGTTTAACGTTTGACTATAAGGAGATAAGAGGGAACTTGTGAGGACACTGGAGAATTTTCCCAGCGTAAACCGCCTAGGCATTGACTCTAGTTGAGGATATTGTTATTAAGGGGACGTTTACCAAATGCTTACTGGATAAGCGTTTACCAGCAAAACTCACCACCCTCATTTACCTTATTGGGTAACATTCTCGGCCATCAAAATGGATCGTTGGTAAGCATCTTTTACCCTGTAAGCACTTACCGGGTAAGAATCTTCTCCCTTACTTACCTGGTAAGATTCTCGGTTCTTGCAATGCTCACTCAGTAAGGTAAGCGACATCCGATAAGCGATTGGTAAACCGCACTATGGTATTAAACATAATAATATAGCAAAAATACTAACAATAGAGATGGATTAATGCTCTAACAAAAGCGTACCCCCAAATGGTAACGGAACGGAAGGTTAAATTTACTTGTAAGCTAGGAAACTGCTTTCTTTTAAAAAATAAATCTTTATCCTGATTGAAGATGATTCTTGTATGATTCAAGTAACAAGTTCTGCAAGAGATTACTATCGTGCACTTACATTTGGTTTTCGTCATTTAATGGGTACAGGAGATGGGCTTACTGATTCTTTGGTTGGTTTATCTAGCACCGAGGTAATTAGTGCTTGTTCTCTCTAGTGAATGCTTGCATTTTTAGTTTTTCTTTTCTTCTCTATTAATGATACTGAGATGTTTGTCATATTAGACTTTATTAGTTCTTATAGTTACTGTGACCCTTACGGCTGCGTTTGGTACCCAGGATAGGACAACTGTTCAACGTTTGGTAAGACAGGACAAAACAGGACTGTTAAAATGACCAACTTACCCCTAATGAGTTGTTTAGTGTTCTTTTTTACCAAATAATCAATCTAAACAGAAATTAACAAATAATATTTAAAAAAAATACAAAACTATGTAGCACATATTTTTATCCTCTTTAAACTCTTGCTCTACGTCTCTCAAATTTCCATTTATTATTTTATGTCTTTTCTATATTTTGATTAATCTTTGTATATTAAATATTATAAAAAAAATAAATATTTTTTATAACAAAGTATATCATTAGAAAGTTCTCATCAATACGAAGCTTATGGAATTTCCAATTTTTATTTTATACCTTTTCTATATTATGTTTTTATTATTAATATTCAATAAATTACATAACTTAACCAAAATATACTAAATAAAAAATGGAATTCTGAGGACAGTAAAGTGAAAGTTTAAAGACAATAAATAAAATTTAAAGAATTGATTTATAAAGAGGGAGGTGGTTTTTGATGTTTTAGAAGGTTGTTAGGTTTTATTTTGAGGGTATATTATGGGGTGGGGGTGGAACCCGCCTGTCCCACTTTGTTCCACTATGTTCATGTCTGTTCCACATAAAATTCATGCCAAACATGGAACCGTGATCCCGGTTTTGTTCTGCCAAGTGTACCTGACGGACCCTAATTGAACATTGAATAAAAACCAAGTAAAAAACTAACAAGGGTCTTTATGCCTGTTTTAATATGTCATTAATGCGATGAATGCTATTTGATTGACTGAGGTGGCGTTTGTTTTTTAAGAGGTGTTGAAGTCTGATTTCACTTCTGATTTTTAAGAGGTGGTGCTGAAGTCTGAAATCTAAATCAGTCAGACTGTTTGTTTTTGTAAACTGACAAACGTCTGAAGTCTGAAATCTGAATCAATAGTTTGCTTTTGTAACCAACAAAACATATCAATATGTATAATTTCTGATTTCACTTCTGTTTGTGTTCCCAAGATTCCCTTAATTCTTTCTTCTCCTTCAGATCAAGCCTTCCATCCTCAATCTCCACCCTCATCCCACCACCATCAACCACCGTCCACCACCACTCCTTCTCTAAAATCTAACGTCCAAATTCACCTCTAAAATCGAAGCAAATATTCATCATGATGAAAACTACAGGGACGAAAATACCTTGATTCACGAGGATAAAGGTGCACAACTACTGGTTTGCACAAAAACGAAAACACACAGTGGCGAAAACCCACAGGGAAGAAAACCCTCTTGATTTGGATCTGATTTGGGTCGATTTGAAGCCACCAGAGGCGATGGAGAGTGAACTCGATCGATTGAGACGATGAGGAGGGTGAACTCGATCGAATGATGAAGTAGAAATCGGTTCTCTGGATAATTTTCAGGATTAAGAGAAAAATAAGTGGTTAGTCTATCACTTAATTTTTAAGAGGAAAATAAGGGATAAGTGGCTCTGAAAGAAAAAGAAAAACAAATGGTCTGAATTGCCTTATGTCTGACCGAATCAGACATAAGTGGTAAAATAAGAGCTTTTTAAAAAAAAACAAACACCACCTGAATATAACAGAGATGATTTGAAGCAAATAGTTCAACACTATGCTGCTTTAATGATTGTTTAATACCATGGTTTGACCGAATCGACACACAAGAACAGAGTCGATGATATAAACTTAGCAGGAAGCAACTGTCAGCTATTTGGTTCCAGAAATGGGTTCTCTGTGCTATTGAACAATGCTGGAGTCCACATATGATATGATTGATTTGGGGTTTGAATTAAATGTAGTTAATATATTTCATGATCGATCAAATAAGTTAGTGAAATCTTGTTTTCGTTACCGTTTGTTACTGTACCTTTGAAAATTGTATCTTCTGTTTACAATGGCTATATTCAAATAATATGGTAAATGTATCATATGTGGATGAACAATGAAAATTTAACATTCTCTCTCTGTTTTGTAGGTGAAGAGTGTAGTTGAATGGCGAGATTTCTATATCAGGACATACGTGTAAGTTTATGGTAGATCCTGAATGATAATTTTCTAGCGAGAAAATATGTTAGGTTTCTTGAATAACTTGCATTGTATGCTTTTAGCGGATTGACTAGAATATAAACCAAACCAAACCAAACGTACCCAGAAAATCCCACTCCGAAGTAGAACATAGGGAGGGTAAGATGATACCTCTACACGAAGCAGATATATTGTTTCCATGAAAACATCCGGCTTGCATAAGTTTAGTGATGCTTTAGAGATTTAGAGAAGCTTTGGAAAGCTCGAGACATTGAAAAAAAGGTACTAAAAGATGCAACTTTTTTTGAAACGTGGGTGTCGTGGCGGCTTGTTATGTTTGATTTGGTACGTATTTGAATAGAAATGATTGACTATTGATTAAATGTCTAAAATGCAATAAGTAAACTCACTCACACCCTCTCCTCACCATTGGTGAGGTTTGAACCTCTGACCTCCGGGAAGACTAGAGGCGCAGATACCGCTAGGCCAAAGCCCCTTTGGTAATACTGTTATCCTAACGGTGATTTGTTATATGTTATTGCTTTGATTGGTGGTATCAGATTTGTTGGCAAGTTAGTCGGTCGGTATTATGATGGTGAGGGGAGCCCCACTAAATATCTTAAAGGAGTCGAAGCAAAGGCGGCAAGAGGTGCACAGTTGATGGAGAAACAAAAGATAGAAGAAGCCAAAATACCCGGCTGCAATTCGAAGTGGAGCCAGGACGAGGGTTCCGAGGTATGCCTCTCTCACAATCATCTACGAGAACGAGAAAGTACATCGGCACTTGTACTTCATGTGTATATTCAATGTTCAAGGTCAAACATAGTTATTCAAAAGGCAAATGCAACAAAATTTGGTTTAGTTCCTATTTAGTGTAACGAATAATTTTTTCCCTCGATCAATGTAATAAAAGTTTCAAAATTTTCTATTTTGTACCCATTTTGACCGGCAATCTACCGATTTTATAACATTTGATGACGTGAATACCCTTTTATGAAGGGGTTACATTGAAGTGGACGATAAACTTGACATACACGTCATAAAATGTTACAGGATCAGCAGGTTAACGGTCAAAATGGGTATTTGAAACTTTGTTATATGAAAATTTGAAATTCTATTACATTGATTGAGAAAAAAATTCTTTAGTACACTAAATAGGAACCAAGCGAGTTCGGTGCATTTTGATGTATTTTACTTTTTCTCAAAATTCAAAATGACGTGGGTTTGTGACAACAATTACACGAACACTTTTTTTGAAGTTTATAATATTTATATACGGCAAATACTCGTGTACGCTCCTCTTCTTTGGTTGGGTTTGAACCCTTGAACTACTGGGAGGCTGGGCTCTGCCAATAACCCGGGTGCCGTTGAGCCAATGACCCTTTGGTTAAACCAAACCAAACGAACACTTTTTTACTGGTATTTGTTAAACACCGTTCTCGAAAGTAGTATTAGGGGGTTGAGATGTATGCATACCTGTCCTGTCCCGTCACAAAAGGGTAGATAATTTATTTCCGTGACCATGCTGATATTTGTTATCTAGTCCAATGCAAATATCAATTAGATCTGGAATACAAAATCCATTTTGGTATAGAAACGTTAAAGTAACCAAAAACTATACCGTTACGTATACATTCGATCCATGTTGCAGGAATATCGTGCAACAGGTTGCTTGGTCCGTGGCTGCTCATAACTTGTGTGTTTCGGATTGTATGGCAGGTTTGGTGTGACAATGGTTACCCAAGGCTAGTTCAGAGACCACTAGAAATAGCGTTGACGGGGAAAATGAGCAAACGTTGCGCATGCTACAAAGAAACAGAGTTAGACCAACCAGGTTTAGAAGTTTATGAAGGATGTGATTATTTATCGAAAGCCTGTCGGCTTTGAGAGTCATGAAAAGAGTATCAACGATAGAGCGGAAACGGACATGCTTTACGTAAACGATGTCTCTATTCCCTTACGTAGAAGAAAGGGCTGGTTACATCCTACAAAAATATCTTAGATATGACTTTCGAGTAAGATATACCGAATGCATCTGATTTGGATTGATGATTTATATATCACAATAGATTTTCATGTCATGCTTTTTTGAGAAAATTTTGCTATCGATTGTCTATCTTTGACATCATCGGAAGATCTACTAATGGTCGATAGGCATGGGAATGGGCCCGGGACTCCAATCCCCATCCATGTTCAGTTCCCAACGGTGAACGGGGTTTTTCAACGGAGAACCGATGACATTTTTTCCTGTTATGTGAGATATTTTAAATGAAATGAGTTAAAAACCATATTCGATCCAAAATGGTTCGTGTTTAAATTCACATATTTCTAAAATTTTGCTTTTATAGAGTATCAGATATTTATGTCAAAAAATCAACGTAATTTTTTGATTAAATTGCTTTAGGTTGTCCATGTTTTTTTTATGTAAAACAAGTTAGAAATAAAAATGTATGTAAGATAATAAGAATAGAAGTGAAAACACTTTTTTTATAAATCTAAAAGATACTAAATCTAATTCTTTATGAATGATATTTTTAATAATGGATATACAATATATTTAAGGGGTGTTTGAAATTGCTTATAAAAACAACTTGTTGACTTATTTTGATATGACATTGATAATAAATATTTTTAAGTGTTTAGATAAATATTTATACCGATATCAAACCGGTAATAAAATGTTTTTGAAGAAGTTAAACTATTCTAATTTATAATAAATTAATACGGATTTTTTTAGAAAATCTAAGTTGTTTCGGAGGGTCCACGGTACCCGCCACCATCCTCGTCCATGGTTTTTAACTTTTGAGGATTCCTGTCTCCAACCCCGATTCTAGTTTTACATGGATCGGTAGTCGAGACTCGAGCATCATCTCGAAAGGCATCTCAACTTCTGATCATCTGTAAACCATTAACGAAACCAAGGGGGGTGAAACCCAGCAAATGTTGAATGCTACAATCTTATGTAAAAATGGAAATCTGATCACTTTGCTTGAGAACTGCCAATCATTGTGCGAGTTCAAACGAATGCATTCCATCATGATCACGTTTGGGTTTCCTCTAACCCAAGAAGATGCATTCGCATCAAGATTTCTCTCTTTTGCAGCCACTTCCTCCAACAACATGGATTATGCTTATGCAATTTTTCTTCAGCTTCCAAACCCAACTATCTTCAACTGGAACACCGTCATTAGGGGTTACTCCAAAGGCAGAAATCCGAACAAATCGATGTCTGTTTTCGTTGACATGTTGCGGATGGGTGTAACCCCAGACCATCTAACTTACCCGTTTCTAGCGAAGGCGGCGTCACATGTGCGGGACGTCCGGCTTGGATTATCGATTCACGGGCGTGTTGTGAGAGATGGGTATGAGGCTGATAGGTTCGTTAAGAATTCTTTGATTCATTTTGCTGGCTCTTTCAAGGATGTATGGTATGCACGCAAACTGTTCGATGAAATGCCTAACAGGAACTTGGTGTCATGGAACTCGATGTTGGATTGTTATGTGAAGTGCAAGGAAGTATTATTGGCACGAGAAGTGTTTGATTCAATGCCAGACCGTGATGTTGTGTCATGGAGCTCTATGATTGACGGGTACGTCAAGTGTAGTGAGCATAGTGAAGCACTGGCGATTTTTCAAAAGATGCAGGGATCGAGCATCAACGCCAATGAGGTGACCATGGTCAGTGTATTAGGTGCTTGCGCTCATCTAGGTGCACTTGATCAAGGGATCATGATGCATCGTTACATCATCGACAAAAAGATTTCTTTAACTTTAGCATTAAGAACATCCCTTGTGGACATGTATGCCAAATGTGGAGCAATAGAGGCTGCACTAGCCGTGTTCCATGGAGTTCCGCGAAAGCAAACCGACGTTTTAATCTGGAACGCTGTGATTGGAGGGCTTGCAACACACGGGTTTGTTCATGAATCACTTGAAATGTTTACAGAAATGCAGAAAACTGGAATCACACCAGATGAGATCACATACTTATGCATTCTGAGTGCTTGTGCTCATGGCGGCTTAGTCAACGAAGCTTGGCACTATTTCAAGATTCTTACTCGAAACGGTTTGAACCCAAAAACCGAACATTATGCGTGCATGATGGATGCATTGGCACGAGCAGGACAACTTACAGAAGCGTACACATTCTTGACTCAAATGCCTATGGAACCAACGGCTTCCATGTTAGGGGCATTGTTGAATGGATGCATTAACCATAGGAATCTTGATCTTGCTGAAATAGTCGGAAAGAAACTTGTTGAATTAGAACCGGATCATGATGGTAGATATGTTGGTTTATCAAACGTTTATGCGGTTATTAACCGGTGGGACGAAGCTAGAAGAATGAGGGAAGCAATGGAGAAGAGAGGGGTGAAGAAATCACCAGGATGGAGCTTTGTGGAGATACTTGGATTCACTCACAGGTTCATAGCTCATGATAAAACTCATCCCCAATCCGAACAAATTTATAATATGTTGAATTTTGTAGTAAAGCAATTGAGTGATTCAGATTCTGAAATTTTACAGGATTGCATCTTTGATATTGTAGATATTTAAGTTGCATATTCTTTGATTGCAGGGAACTTGCTTATGAAAATTGTTAACTAATTCATGGTTATAAGTATGGTGCTTATGACATAGATTTAAGTGTGTATAGATTTAGATAATAAGTTATTGTTTGTTTTTTTTGTGTTGGATAAACTGTATGAATAGCATAAATGATCATTTTACCCTTCTAGATTGTGCATCGAATTAAAATGATTGATGAAAACTCCATAATTCACCAATCTTGTCTCAACTCTGATGGTTTTTGTTCAACATGCTTTGATGTTTTGTCCCACTTGGTCATAGTCTAATGTCGTACCAAGAATAGAACAAAACGTTTTTGTTTTATCCCATCATGTCCAGGGGCGGACCTGTATGGGAGCATACGGTGGCACGTGCCACCGTATTATTTCGCCTCCGAAGGGTAAAATTTTTAGGTTTGTTAACGGTGCTACCGTATCGTTTCGGAAGGTGCTACCGTATTTTTTATAAAATTCAAAGAATGGTGCTACCATATCATCATGAAGGTGGTGAGAAGAAGCAAGAAGACACCGGAAAACCAGAGGATGCGGCGGCGGTGATGGAGATGAGGAAGAGAACCCCAATTCTACCCCACAACCAAGTTTGAATCATGTTAGTGTCATTTTCTTAGTCAAACGGTGGCATCGTTTGAAAAAAATTTCCTATATTTTTTTTCTTATGGTCAAGTGGTGCTACCGTTTAAAAAAATTTCTGGGTCCGTCCCTGATCATGTCCCATGTATTAAAAGCAACTTATGGGTGCATTTTATATAATGAACATGACAAAACAGAATAACATGGATATTTGTTCCACGTTTGACATGACTTCTACATTGAAACAAAGTAAAATATTCCACCTCCACCTTATGAAACAAGATGAAACAAGCCTATATTTTATCAACATGCTTTCAAAATAAAACATAATTCCCTTCTAAAACATCAATCGCATCTCCCTCGTTAATCAATTTATTTGTTTTCACTTTACTGTCATCAAAATATTATTTTTATATTTTTTCATATTTTAATTAATTAACATAATTTATTAAATATTAATAATAAAAAACTAACGTAGAAAAGGTATAAAATAAAATTTGAAAACTAATGAAATTGTTATTTTGGTGTCAATTCAATTTTCTTGACAAAACTTTCTAATGATATTTTCTTTATATAAAAAACATTTATTTTATTATAAGTTAATAAATTAACATAAACTAATCAAAATATTAAAAAGATATAAATAACTCATTACAAGTAAATTGGTCATTTAGTCCAAACAAATGTCTTGTCTTGTCCTATCTTTACCTCGATATCAAACACACCCTGAATCACATCATCCAAAACGGATCATGGATCGACCAAAGTATCTGGTTTTTGAGCATATGGTTGCAAACTGACTCTAAACTTGTATTATGCCACAACTTCAAGTGCATATATATATTAGCAATGAGTTTATATACTGCAAGGTACATTACACTCCATGTTGCACTTACTACTTAAGTTCTGGAAATCTGCTAGTTCGATATTGCACATTAATCGTTTAGAGTAAATACCTACGAAACTAGTTTGTAGATGAAATTTAAATACGCGAGATCAACAACGGCACAGATGCAAGGGTGTCTTCGCCCATAACGGGCTGAAAAAGATCCAACTCCCCATAACGTTCAAGAACGCGCATTCTGCAGTCTTCTGCCGCCATTAATCCGGTGGAGTAAGCACCATGAACCGAGCCGGGGTAGTCGGAGCTCGTTGCTTCCCCTGCAAAGAATAAATTATCCACCGGGATCCTTAGCTTGTCGTACAGATCATGGGGTTTTCCTACTGTATCGTAGCTATATGAACCTAGTGAATTAACGTCACTGCCCCAATGCGAAACCAGGTACTGTATCTGCTTAAACGAAGAAAAACGTTCTATGAGCGTCTGATTCTAAAAAGAAATCAAAGATTACGGGAGATATACTAGGTTAGTTTAGTTTTGTCATTACGAAGAAAAAATGTTCTATGAGCGTCTGATTCTAAAAAGTCAATTTGTAAGATTACCGGGGTGGAAGCATCTGGAAGAATCTTTTTAAGCTGTGTAAAAGCAAAACTAGCTGCAGCCTCGTCCGACATTTTCTCGATGTCTTTTGCTAGTTTTCCCGCAGGCATGTAAACAAGAACAGCATGACCAGTGGCCTTGTAAAGATTAAGAAAATAGCTGCATCCATATGAAGTCTCGGCAACGACTCCTAAAAACTCTACGTTTGGCCAAAACACTCGCTCAAAATGCAAAACTATCTTGTTCTCAATTCCAACTCCAAGGTCAGCTATGGCTTCTTCCTTCCATTCAGGTAGTCTTGGTTCGAACTTGATGGTGTTCGACTTCAAAACACCAAGCGGGACGGCAACTATAACCGCATCTGCAAAGAATGTTTTGCCATTTTCAACGGTTACCTTCACACCATTATTACGTCTGTTTATCTTCGTGACCCTTTGGCAATACAGGAATTAACAATAAAACAAAGGAAGTGAGTTAAACGGTCACAAAAAATATACGCATTTTATAAGTAAAAATAGATAAGTAACAGAGTAAGAACATAGGTAAAAGGCTTAATCACAACTAACCTGTGACCCACGCGGATGTCAAGGCCTTTGGCCAGCGTATTTATAACTGGCTGGTACCCCCGAACCATAAGTCCATGCCCGCCTGGAAGCAACTCTTCCTGTGCATGAGAAAACATAAATAAGATGGGTGCTTTTAGCTTTAACGACATACGGTGAGAATAAGTAAAACCCCATCAAATTACTGTCCAAAAGAGCCCTTCGGAGGGAAGGTTCTAACACATGTTGAGAAGAGCTAGCATAGATTGTCCCGAGTACAGATTACTCGGGAAGCATTGAGCCCTAAAGTGGTAGACCTAATACCATGAGAGAATATGTGAAACCCCATTAGATTACCCCCAAAAAGAGCCCTTGAGGAGGGATCGGAGCTTCCAACATATATCAAGGGATAATGGTCCAAGTCTAGCCGATGTGGGACTTCAACAGACACATCAGAAATCATAATAACAAACCCCCTGCCCCACAAAAAATGGAAATGCAACAGGGGAAAAGAAAAGAGCATACCTTGTCCCAGCATTTTAGAGAGATGGTATCAGCATCAGCAGCAAACCAACCTTCCATTCTACACAAGTACCACTGCAACACCTTGTGAGGGAGTCCCTCCAACCTGTAAAATAGTTATTAAAAAGATATTTCGTATGATTATCTGAAGAAAGACATCACTTACAAAGCTCATGGAGGTAAAATAGGAATACCTTAGTTTTGGGTTTCTTTCAAACACAATGGATATTGCATGCTGTATAGACGAGTCTTCGCTCAACTCTTCTCTCACTTTATTTGTCTGCAATATAAACACCGCATATCAAGAATAAAAAAACCAGAAGACCCGAAAAACCACCAAGCAAAAAGATGATCGCTTATAATAAATAATTCATCATTTCTCAGGAACCGTGTTTAAAATCTAGTTCAGGAAGAACATTTTACAACCTCAAGGGGTTGCCCTAGTGGGTAAGGCATGAAACCTTAGTTGGTTTGAATCCCACAGATGCCATCAACTCCTTAGAGGCCACACTGGTAGGCTAGAAGGCCTAAAGTTTGCCGATCCATGATGAGGGGGAGTTTGCATGGACCACATGGACTAATTGGGCCAAACGTGCAGGATGGTTATTAAAAATATTATCCAAATATTAAAGGAGGTAGAGTAAAGCAGAGAGAGAGAAGGCTTACTTCTTCCAAGATACTCTCGAATGTTTGCCCAACCTGTGAGACTAATTCCTGAGGAACTTGGTTCCCATCGGTGTCAAATAGCGCATAGCTGAAGAAATACTATGCCAAATCAGCAAAGAAATACATCGATAACTATAAATATCATAGTTTGTTGGTTACAAGTATATTTACCAGTTATTGGTTTTCAGAACTTCAATTTTAATTTAAATTTCCTAATGAAATATCAAGGTGAATGAACTCTGATTAGAGAAATAATGAACAGAAAATACAGTAACAAACCAAGAATTAACAGAAAACTAAAAGGTACAGCATTAGATACTGTTCCATATAGGCATTTCCCATTAGTTGATTCTAAAGTTCATAGGCAAGAATCCAACTATTAACAATGTTCATCATCTTTCTACATTCACTCTCATATTTTATGGTTTAAATGACTACAAAGTCAACCGATAATCAATTGTGATCAGGTATAAACTAAGAGAAATATTTTCTTGGTATGAACTTAACACTTACAGGAACTACAATGAAATCTCCTACATACATGACATATGGAAATTTGGGATGACTTACCTCTCCAAGTCATGGTCATACAACACTGAGTTGTCACCACTGGTACGGTAGAGAGGTAATCCAAGTCTTCCGATGAGAGGCGCCAAGGGATTCTCTTTGCAAACCCCATGCAACCTGAAACATTAACATCAACTTAGAATACGCATGGTAATCACGGACAGGTATAAATATGTCTTATCAGTCAATATTGTGAATTTGCCTCTCACCATGATGCGCCCAGGTCTATGGGAAAACCAAATGAGTAATCCGTACAAACTCGACCACCAATTCTTTCACGAGACTCAAGTAAGATAACCTGAAAACATAAATGAGATTAATAACATATTGTCTACTACGTGTGTCCACCCGTTCCCCACTTGCAAGAATGATGTGAGTACTAAAGTTAAATAAGAAAATGTTTGATATTTTCTACCCGGAATGAAGCATCATAGAGGGCACGAGCAGCAGCTATGCCAGCAAAGCCACCACCAATTACGATAACAGATGGTGATCCTGAATGGCTTGTTTTGATATTTGAATAGCAGGGTGCTGCATGTGAAGGGCAAAGCATGAATTAGATCAAGTATAGAGGATTTGCTATATAGAGTTGATAAAGTGAGATATCTTCTAACTTCTAAGACTATTCACATATGCAATTGCATCTAGCATCCTTTCTTTAATCTTTATAAATTCATAAAAGTTATAAAAGAAACCCTTCTTCCTCTTTTGATTGTACTTGATTTACCCCTTGGATTGATTATATAGTATCTCAAATTGAAATCTGAACAGAGAGGAGTTCTGATCCTTTGCAACTATTGAGGGTATATATAATCCTTTTAGCAAGACCACCTCTTCAAACTAACAAGTGTTAACACATAAATTCATGGCACATCAGTTATAAAGAAAATTATGATCTGTTTTCAATTTTCCTACTCCATAAACATATATGCAAATGTAGGGACCACATTGAAGTTTGACAGAGAACCACAAACAAAAAATATAGTTTTTTTGCAGAATATGCATCACCCAACTTTAAAGATTCAGATTTGATTCCTCCCAGCATAAATGAGCAGGTAATTAATAAATACCTTTGACATTAGTAATGAGTTTCCCACACACAAGGTAGATGGTTAAGATTTGTCTGTGTTTTATATTGTCTTTGAGAACCCTTTTGCAAGTTCTTCTCCAAAACAAGTAACACACACACACATATATATAAAGGGAGTTTCAAACACAACCCATGGAAATCTTGCAACCATACAAAACACAGACAAATCTTAACCATCTATCTAGCCTGTTAGAATATTTGGTTCGATAAATATCTCAGTTGTTCCTAATCCAAAGCAACAATCATAACGAACGAAACCTATCATCTTCCATAAATATCTCGTTCATAATGAATGAATATCTCGATATATTCTGTAAATATGTCAATTGTTTAGGGTTTAGGATAGTTATATATATACATGATTTTGGGCCTATATACATATACATCAAGATTGACGGTGCTGGTGGAAAATTCCGGTGAATAGTAAGTAACCACAAGTCTGTAAGATAAGAAGTAAAAATAAAAGAAGAGGGATGATCATAAACCTTGTTTCAATTGGGGATTACTCTTGTCTCCTGACGAACCCATGTAGCGATGAATGATGATGATCGATCAAGATTGAGACCGAAAGAATAGTAGTAGAAGTGGCAGGAGACAAGTTACAGAAAACTAACAACAATAATAAGAGTATATAATAGAATGCAGAATTGGGTGTTGTAGGATCCAAGGGTTTATCAAATTGAAATCTGGAAGTGGGTAATAATTGAGGCGAGTGATGGAGGATGAACAGAAGAAGGCAAGTAATAAAGTGATTGGAATTCGAACAATTACAACCCAGCTTGACCAACCAGCTCATACGTATTTCAAACTCAACCCTTGGAATCCCACCCAAAAACCCTGGGCTAATAAATATACAATCGGATCTGATAATCGGTTCAAATGTCGAGATCAGGTAAAACCCAATTGATATATTCCCCAAGAATGAACGGTGTCCACTGTCCAGTCTTGATTGTGAAGATGATGTGATCCAAGTGATCTGGGTGGGAAGAAGAAGAAGATATTTTGTGGGTTTTATAGGGAGGAATGAACACATGAATTACGTGGTTCACTTTTGATTTATGTTTTCTGAAAGTGTTCGGTGTCAATAAGGTCGGTGGTATTTTCGTGGTGAAAAGGGATCCTTCTTATCATCAGTCATCACCTATATTCAATATACGGGTCGGGTTTTATCCATATTTTTTTAAAAAATATATTAAAATCAAATTTTAGAGATTATTATATTATAATTATCCAAAAAAATTGATAGATAAGAAAAATCAAAGTAATCTTTCTTTATGTTGTATTCAAATAAAAATTGGAAATTGATCAAAAGCGAATTTAAATTTTAATTTTAATCAGATTTTACGTAGATGTGTTATGCATCTGAGTAGATTTGATTTTCAGTTAAAGAAAAAAAAATCTTTACTTAAACTGGTCCCATTTACGTAAATATTTTTTTAATCTAAAAATAGGCTTTACGCAAATGCATAAGGTATTTATGTGAACTCTGGCCGGAATGGGAATTTCGTTAACATGATACAAACAAATTGTCAAAGAATTAATGGTTCTCAAAGTCTAATTACTAAAACTATATTACTGTTTATTGTACTTTATCCAACAAAAATCCAAAATTTCAATCAACATCCTAAAGAAAACTAAGATGGGTTTGGTCCGTTGGAGTCCGGTGTGGAATTTGAAGGAATCAAACAAACGAATCAATTTTTTTTGGCATATTTCATTCCAATTTCTGCCAACCAAGCACACATAGTCAAACATGATTAAAGTTTATTCCAATTTCTCCATATTCCAATTCATTTGACAGATTCTAGTTCCAACATATTTCATTATGTAAACCAAACGCCACCTAAACAATTCATAACCATGTATTTACATTTTAAGGCCTTTGGCATACAGCTCAATTGGCAAAAAAACGAGATGACTCTATTTACATTTCAAGATCATATCAATCATATTCAATTTTAATAAAATTTATTTAACATAAATAATAATAAAAAAATGGGTGCTTTTCTTTTTAAATCAGTATGAAAAGTATGTATAATTTATCATGTTTTTGGTTTGAAAGTGACATCATATCATTTGTAGAACCCCATGTTTCACATGAACACATAAATAAATAGAATTATTTTGTTACCATTTGGCACCATTTGTGCTTTTGTACTTGCATTCACACAACTTAAAAACTGAGATGGTAACTTCATTTGATTCAATAAACCAAATCAATTTATGAATTTGTGTAAAGTGTAGTTATGAATTATAATATGATTTCGATACAGTATTGTCTTTAACATGCAGTTCAGCTGGTAAAAGGATGGAGTGAATTTGGCCAAAGACAAAACAAGTCACGGGTTCGATCCTACCCTCTAGGCTCAGCCTCTCAGCAAGTGGAAAATACCGCTGCATTGATGTCCTTGGAAGAGAGTGTCGTATGAAGCCTGTTGGGATTGTTGATAATCAAATTTTTATCCAAGTGCTTAATATTTATTCTATATTATAAAACATTTGACAAAAACTTTTAAAAATAATTTTTTATGCATAAAATATTGTTTATTGATGCATATTACTTAAAATTCAAGATTACAAGTAGAAAGTGGTACATCTTATTAAAGCTCTATGTTTGAATTTGTATAATTAAATGTAGGTAAATATAATCAAATACATGATAAACATCATTTTAAATATAAAAAATCTAAAATGTAATAAGATAATCATTGAGTTATAACATAATACTTAATTATTATCTTAAAATTTTATTTTTTTAATCCAAAAATAAATTAGTTCGTTATTAAAGTTCAATTAAATTATAATAAAAAATTAAATTAAAGAAATTACACAAAAACGAACTTTTAAATAGTTAATTTGATATTAATATCCCTTTCTTTTTCAAAATTTTATAATATTTTCAAATTTATATTTCATTCAAAAATAAAAACATTTTCCTTTTTCTCAAAACAATATAAAATCGTATTATAATATCGACAAAACCAAAATATAAAATGAAACATTAAAATCAAGATTTATCTTGCTGCATTGTGCGACTACCCTTCTAGTACTATTATATATATATAAATTCAAAATATTTGAAATTGACAAAATAATACTAATTACATCATGGCATAATCTCCCGTTGTTCCTCCGTAGCTCAGTGATAGAGGGGTCAGTTGTTAACCGATTGATCATAGGTTCGAATCCTACTTGAGGAGATTTGAAAATCACCGTCAAGATTTGAAGATCTAAAACAAAGTTTATACATATTCAGAAAAATTATTAAGCGTTATCAAAATTGTTTAATGAAAATATTTAAACTTCTAATGATACTATAATTAAGAACGTTAAAGCTAATATACGAAGGACTCATTTACTAAACGTTTATCAATAAGCGTTTACCCGTAAAAGAAATTACTCACACTTACCTTATCATGTAAATTTTTGGCGATCGAAATGAATTGTTGGTAAGAGATTCTATATCCGGCAAGTGCTTACCATAGACATCAGAATGGGGTGGGGACCTCAATCCCCATCCACATCCCCATCTTCACTGAGAAATATGATCACATCCCTGCCCCCGTGTCCAGCGGAGATCCGTGACCCCCAGTGGAGAATTGAGGATTTTTCCCCGTTGATATAAGATATAAATCAAATGTGTTAAACACCACACTCGATCGATAATGGTCCTTGTTTAAAACTTATATATTTTCAAAGCTTGCTTTTATAGAGTATCATATATTTATATATTAACAAAATCACATCATATACGTAATTGTTTGATCAAATGTTTTCGACTTTTAATGTTTTTTAATCTAAAAAAGTAAGACAACTCAAAGAAAACGTATATAAAATAAATGTTAAAATATTATTTCTAAATCTAATTCTATATAAATAATATATTTAATAATAAATATAAATAAAAAATGTAATATTTGGGTATGGGGCGGGCTGGGGACCACGTTACCTGTCCCCATCCCCGATCCCTGGTTTTGCGAGGAATCCTCGTCCCTGTCGGGGGCGAGTACATGTGGTTCCCCTATAGGCCAGATCTCGTTCCCATGCCTAGCTTATCGGGTAAAAATATTTTTCCTTACTTAACGGATAAGACTCTCAATCTTTGTTATCGCTCTTATAGGTAAGATTTTTAATGTTCATCATGCTCATTTGATAAGGTAAAATGACCCGATAAACACTTACCGGATAAGCGTTTAGTAAACGAACCCGAAGACTTTCATATCATTCCATTTGTAACACACAAATTTTTGGTGCGTATAATTCCGACTACAATATTTATATTTCGATCTAAGCATAACTATTGGTATGTATTTTGAGTTGGTTTAGTGTTTTGTGCGAGGAACAAGCTAATTACCTTTTCTGGAGAAGTTTTACACCCGAAGCGAAATCTTCACACCTGGGAAGATCGCCTTCACTCTCGGGGCAAAATCCTTCACACTCGAGAAGCTTGGGCAGAAAATTGGGTTTGATCGGTGGGACCCATCAGCTACACTCAAAATCGTTTTTTTTTTTTTTTGCCCTAGAAACCCTCATTTTTGTTTCCAAACTCATTTCTCTTCTCTTTCCCTCTCACTTTACTTAATCCGTTCAAGAGCATTTGTTCCACCAAAATCAAAATGTTCAAGAGTTTTTTGAGATTAGAAGCTAGAGATTCAAGTCTTGTGGACTAAAGCTCAAGATCTTCATCTTCTTCATCGTTTTCCACCATTGTCGACTTAGTTTTTAGGGTTCTTTCCCCTAAAACCCTATCGGTCCGATTTTCTCAAGGATCTTGATGACTTTGCTTGTGGATTTCAAGTCTCCCCCGTCACTGAAAGGTGTTATTTCTAGATAATGTATTATCCATGTTTTCAATGTTGTTTTGGGTACGGAGAGTATCCCTACTTTATGGTTTTGGTATCTTGGAACTTATCCATGTCCTGTTTGTTTTAGGCATTGAACCTTAACTATGCTATTTGGATGTCTTGGATAATAAATTTGTATCCATATTTTTAGTATTTGAATCTTAAACCGTATTAACGTTTTTGGTGAGTATTGAGTTTCGTCTTCATGGTAAAATGGGTGATTTGGTCACCAAGTTTTTATCACCAAAAATGACGATTTTGAGAAATATGTTGCTTTTATCCTATGTAATAACATCTTTTCCAGTTTTACTATTTTATATTAAAGATGAAAACTGTTTGAACTCAATAGTCATTAAGCCTAACTTTTTCATTGGTTGACATGTGCATTAGGTCCTTGTTGGGGAATAATATTAGCAGCGTGTAAAGTAAAGTGCTAGTTAGATGCACGTGAATGATTTAGTTTTTCAGAACCTCTTTCGTATTTTGAAGTGGCAGCTATAAGCCTATAATTGGGTTTTAGTAGCACTCGATCTTGGCCTAAATTTTATGTAAGGTTTAGTTTCACATATTATTAATGCTAAACCTAAATTGCTATTTGAAGTAATCAAGTACTCACTTATTAAAAAGAGATTTAGGGGCTGTTTGGCAGTTGCTGAATGGTTTGGTGCAGAATGGTTAAGTGGTCAGAATGGTTAAGAGGGCCAGAATGGTTAAGTACTGAATGAAATAATGTTGTTTGGTAATTGTTATCTGAATGACAGTAAATTACCATTTTAACCCTCATTCACATTTTCTTTGAAGTTGAAGTTGGATAATGTGTTAGGGCC